GGCCAATTCGAGTTCTAGCTTAATGGAAAAAGAAAAAAGAGCTAAAGTGCCGAAACCTCGATGTTATGAAGGGGCAAGAGATGCCAAAGAGCTTGAGAACTTCTGTTTAACATAAACCAATACTTTCAAGTTATGTGCACAGAATCAGAGGAGGATAAAGTTACAATGGCTTTAATGTACCTTACCGAGGATGCCAAGCTATGATGGCGTTCAAAATTTGTAAATGATGAATGCCTTATTAAAACTTTGGTGGATCTTAAACAAGAGTTGAAAAACTAGTTCTTCTTTAAGAAAGTGGAGAATATAACCCTAAAGAAGCTTTCAAGAATTGGTGCATACAAGAATGATGCGAAAGTTTGTAAGGAGTTTTTCTACCCCAATGTTGGACATTAGAGACATGTCTAAAAAAGACAAGATATTATATTTCCTTGAGGACCTTCAACCTTGGGCTAGGAAGAAATTGCAAAGACAGATGATGTAAAATATGGTCATAACTATGGTTGCTGCTGAATGTCTTTATGATTATAATGATGGCCCCTCAAAACAGAAGAATTCTCTGTCAGGTGGTAATAACTCCAACTTTGAAAATGGGTGAAAGATGGCTAAAGTGGATCGACCCTTTAGTGGGGGATCAGATAAGAGGTTTTCTAGTCAAAACAATACCTAACTTAAGGTAAAAAATGCATCAAATTTCAAGCTAAAGCAACCGCTAGCTTACTTTCTATGCCAGGGGCTCGTGTCAGATGGATGAATGCCTACATAGAGGTGCCCTTAATGCTCTGAAAGCCTCTTCTCAAAAATTTTAAAATGCTCGAGACTGTTAAAGAAGTTAAAAAGGAGCCAGCAAGGATGGGCTCAATACAGTTTCTTAGTGCTTTTCATACCCAATTAAATATGATAAAAAGAGAACAAGGGAAAAGATATGATATATGTGGACCTGGTACTCAATGGTAAAACCACAAAAGCCATGATAAATACGAGTGCAACCGATACCTTCATCACACCATAGTAAGTAAAAAGATGTGGTCTTAAGGTTAATAAAGATTGTTGGCAAATGAGAGCGGTTAACTCTCTAACCTTTACGATTAATGAAAGCTTCAAGAGTGTGATGACCAAGTTGGGGCTAGGGAAAGAAAATATATATTTCATAGTTTCTCCCATGGATGACTTTGATGTTGTCTTAGGATTAGACTTCATGATGTTGGCTCAGGTGATCCCAATCCCTGCTACTAGTTGTCTATTGTTCTCGAGGAAATGCCCATGTGTTATGCCAACTACAATCCTCCCTAAGAGTAAGAAAAAAATTATTTCAACATTATAATTCAAGAAAAGGGTAAAGAGAGGGGAGCTCTCCTATGTGGCCATGTTGATTTACAAAAATAGGATTGAGTTGAAAACAATTCTCGATGAGGTGCAGAAAGTATTTAAAAAGTTTATGAATATGATGCTAGAGCAATTACCTAAGGTCTTACCTTATCGAAGATCGATGGATTATGAGATTAAGCTTCTCCCGAGAATTAAACCACAAACTAAATCCCCATATTGTATGGCTTCGCTAGAGTTGGATGAATTAAAAAAATAATTAGATGAGCTTTTACAAGTTGAGTTCATTAGCACATCGAAAGCATCATTTGGGGTACCTGTGCTATTTTAGAGAAAATATGATAAGAGTTTATGATTATGTGTGGACTATAAGGCCCTAAACAAAGTCACTATGAGAAACAAATATCCTATTCCCCTTATTGCATATTTGTTTGATCAACTAAGCCAGGTCAAGTACTTTTCCAAATTGGACTTAAGATTTGGCTATCATCAAGTTAGAGTTGCTAAAAGAGATAAGCTAAAAACCACTTGTGTAACGTGGTTTGGTGCATTTGAATTTCTTATTATACCCTTATAATTGACTAATGCCCTTGCCATGTTTTGTACCTTGATGAATCAAGTGTTTCATGACTATCTTAATAAGTTTGTAGTCATTTATTTAGATAACATAGTGGTTTATAGTTCTACCTTGGAAAAGCATAAAAAGTACATGCATCTTGTGTTTCAAAGACTACAAGACCACCAGTTATATGTTAAAAGTGAAAAATATACATTTGTATATACACGAATTCACTTCTTAGGCGACATTTGAATGAACATAAAAAAAGTTAGGGCTATTAAGGAGTGGGTAACACTAAAGAATGTCGGTGAACTCTATTCATTTTTGGGATTAGCCAACTATTATAGGAGATTTATGAAAAGATGCTCTTGTAGAATCATGGCCCTTACGGAGTTATTAAAAAATGAGCATAAATAGTATTGGACAAGTGAATGTCAAAAGGCTTTTGAATGATTGAAAAAAGCCATGATAAAAGACCTTATCTTGGCTCTCCTTAATATTGGAGCCTTTTGAAGTTTAAATAGATGCATCTGATTTCACTATTGAGGGAGTACTTTTGTAAAAATGACATCCAATAGCATTTGAATGTCAAAAATTGAGCGAAGCTGAAAAGAGATATACGACTTAAGAGAAAGAACTCTTAGCAGTAATCCATTGTTTGAGAGCATGGCTGTATTAGTTGTTGGGTTCACAATTCGTCATTAAGACAGACAATGAGATGATTAGTTATTTTCTCATCCAATCGAGGCTCATAACTAAGCAAGCTAGATGACAAGAATTTTTAGCCAAATTTGAATTATGTTTCAAGTACACAGCTAGAAGAACTAATCAAGTGGCAGATACATTAAGTATATGAGCAGAGTTGGCTACCCTTAGGAGAATTACCCCAATGGTGACTAGTAAAGTCACAACAGATGTCCGTAAGCTAATTGAAGATAATCTAAAAAAAAATCCATAGGCTAATGCCATTTTGAAACTAGTAGAAGAAGAAAAGTCTAAGTAATTTTGATAAGAAAATGAGGTTTTATTGACAAAAAATCCTCAATTATTTATGTTGAAAATAGGTCTAAAATAAATGCTAATGAAAGAATGCCATGACACACCATGGTCGGGTCACCCTAATTGGCAACGTACTTTAGCATTATTGAAACAAGGCTATTATTGACCTCACATGAGGTAAGATGTGACGGACTATACGAAGACTTACCTCATTTACCAACAGGATAAAGTTGAAAATAAAAAACTAATAAGCATGCTTGAACCAGTACCTGTGCCCACAAGACCTTAGAAAAGTATTTCCATTGACTTTATATCAGACCTTTTTAAAGTTGACGATCTTAGGTCTATTCTAGTGGTGATTGACCCTTTCTTGAAGTATGCTACGTTTATTCCCACCTAAAAGTATTGCACTACAAAAGACATAGCCTGACTAATATTTAAACATGTAATCAAGTATTGGGGCCTTTCTCAAAACATTATTGTGACAGGGATCCGAGATTCACTAAATCATTTTGGAGGGAACTTTTCAAAATCTTAGGATCTCAACTCAATATATTTTCAAGTTATCATACTCAAACTGATGGTCAAAATGATTTAATGAGTTGTTGAAGGAGTACTTAAGACACTTTGTTCAAGCTAATCAGAAGAATTGGCCTTCATTATTGGATGTAGCTCAGCTTTGTTTTCATTCCAACAAGTATTTTTCTACAAATAAGAGTCCTTTTGAAGTGATCACTAGACAACTATCAAGACTACCGCATACGTCTCTTGAGCCATATCGATGGAAAAATTTATGAATTTCAACTTTAGCAAAAAATGGAGACAAAATACAAAAATTACACAAGCATATTTAGATAAGGCATTGAAGCACATAAAAAAATGGGTAAATAAGGGTCGAAGTGTACAGTGATTCAAAGTTGGTGATCTTGTTCTTTCAGACTAATACCCAAACGAATCGTGTTCTTGAAAAAGCGGGATTGTAAATTGATGCGTAAACGTGAAGGTCCATTGAATATCTTTTCCAAAGCAGCGAATGCCTTTTACAAAATTGACTCATCAAAATGAATGAAAGTGCATCTAGTGTTTCATATGAACAACTTAAAGCCTTATTATGTAAACCACATAGATGCAAGTCGTAGTGAATCAACCAGGACTGCCATTTTTATGAAGCCACTATCAAAACATCGAGTTGAAACAAATTTAGCTAACAAGGTATCTAGAATATCTCGAAAAATAGTTTATGAATATTTAATGAAGTGGGAGGTCTTAGGACTAAAAAAAAATCAGTTGAGAAAGAGATCATGACGTTCGAGCATGCAAGCAAAAAGATTGAAGAATTTCAGGCCAATAAGTCGATGAAGGCATTGACAGAATTGGTGGGGGAGGATGTCATTAGCCAATCTTGTATAGGGCTATGACAGGACATAGAATGTCATGAACAACCTATGTATAGAGTCATGACCAGGTAAAAGTGTCAAGAGAGAGAGTAGATCTCATGTGCTAGGAAAAAACGTCTCAATTTTAAACATTGTAATGGTTCTTGATAATATAGCTATAAAATCTCTTAAGCTCTTTAGAAGAAGTGAGCAATTGACGTATTGTTGAGCTATCTTATTGGTTAAGGTACATGCTAGACCACATATCTAAGGCTACCCCTCTAGCATCGATGATGGTGGGAAGACTCAATGTTCTTTTTGTATTCGTTATATTAATCTCGATATTAATAAAATATTTTTTTATATGAAAATACTATGAGTCACTTTGGTGTGCTCTTATTTTGCTCCGATACATCGTTGTGTATATTTAAGATTAACTTATGGTTTATTGATTGCCTATTCAAATATCGAACTATCTTTGATTGACTTATGTGAAAACGTTTATCCAAGTGCTGCTTTATTAAAAGAAAGCTTAGCTCATGACCCCTGCCTACCCATTACTAATATCTATAAAAAAAATATTTCAACTTTTTAGTTTGAAATTGGTACGGGATCCATGAATGTTTCTGAATCTAGATTTATAAAAAAGAGTGATTGGGCCGTAAAAGGTCATTTTGGGTTGGATCGTGGCAACAATCCTTTCTTTTTCTCTCCATTTTATGTTTTTTTTTACCCAAAGCCCAACCCTCAAAAGAAAGCCGCTTCAGTCACACCCAACTAAAAACCCTAAAGTCAGGGCATAGGAATCAATCTATTTGTTGGATAGAACTGTTTCCCTCGCCGCTTTCATTTTCTCCTGTCATCTTGACATCTCCGTAATAAAACCCTCTCTATTTTCAACACATACACACCAAAAGCAAAATGGCAGAAAGAGGCAGAGGAGAGCGTGGCGCTTTCAGGCGCGGCTTCGGTGGAGGCGGTGGCAGATCTGACCGTGGCCCAAGAGGCAGGCGACGTGGCCGTAAAGATGAAGAAGAGAAATGGGTGCCCGTAACAAAGCTCGGACGTCTGGTGAAATCCGGAAAAATCACTTCCTTGGAGCAAATCTATCTCCATTCTCTCCCCATCAAAGAGTACCAAATTGTCGACCAACTTGTTGGCCCTTCTTTGAAAGACGAGGTCATGAAGATCACTCCTGTCCAGAAACAAACACGTGCCGGCCAGCGCACCCGTTTCAAGGCCTTTGTCGTCGTTGGCGATGGAAATGGACACGTCGGATTGGGGGTGAAGTGTAGCAAAGAAGTTGCGACGGCTATAAGAGGGGCGATAATATTGGCGAAATTGTCGGTGATACCGGTGAGGAGAGGGTATTGGGGAAATAAGATTGGAAAACCTCATACAGTGCCGTGCAAAGTTACTGGGAAATGTGGGTCCGTTACCGTTAGGATGGTGCCGGCTCCCAGAGGTGCGGGGATTGTGGCTGCTAGGGTGCCCAAGAAGGTGCTTCAGTTTGCCGGTATTGAGGATGTTTTTACTTCTTCTAGGGGTTCTACTAAGACTCTTGGTAACTTTGTCAAGGTATTGACTTTTTTAATATTATTTTTTTATTTGTTGGCTTTTGTTGTTATTTCAGATTGATTTTGGATTTGTTTATATCTATTTGAAAATGGGTTGTTAATTCTTCTACGCTGATCATTGATATGATGACTCTTTGTCTAAGTACTAGGATACTTGTTCTTTGATGAGTTATGGTATGTTTGATTCATTTTCATTAGTCTTGGCATGTGTGTTATTGATAATTTGTAAGATGTGTGGTACTGGATTAATTGGATAAAATTGTAGATGATTGTACTTTTAGATATTGGTTACTGTTACATTGACTTTCTTTTAATTTGGGGATATGGGTCATTGATCTTGAGTAGTTAGGTATTTTGTGGTTTTCTTTCTCTCCCAGATATTTTTAGCACTGATTTGATGGAAGCATATTTCACCCTTTATTATATTGTTTTATTATGGAGTTATTGTCTTGAATTTACCTCCGTGATTATAATGGAATTGTTGAAGGCATCTTTTGGTGGGATAGAAATTGGTAACTAATGTATGGTTGGGAATCTTGTAGATATCATAGGACTTGAATATTTTATTTTGGTATGGCTATAGCTTCCTCTGGTTGTATTATTTTGTGTATAAACGCTTGATAATATGTGTATGTTGGTTTGGACATGGATACATGTCACTATTTGTAAGAACAACCATTTGTATTGAATTTACCTATCCGCGACTCTAGTGGAATTGTGTTGAAGGTAGTACATTGTTTTCTGCTTAGCTCTTGATTTGGAATTGTTGAGGATGGTAGACTGGAGTAGCTTGGTTGCAAATATGCTGTTAATGTAGTGTTAATTCTTGAAGCTGGATATTGTTTGTATAATATATTTGTAGTTGAAATTGTGTTTTATCTTTGATGACTTGATGCACCTCCTTTGTAATTGATATTGAATGTATGTTTGGCTATACAATTGAATTGAATAATCATAAAATATAATCATAAAATTGTAACTATTATATATTGCAAGTTGTAACTATTATACGATTTTTGGCTATACAATTGTAAGTTGTAACTATTATATATTGCAACCTACCCGGTTCCTGAAATTATTTGTGCTAGATTGTTGTAAAATTAACGTGCTTTTGTTCTAGATAGGTGTTATTTGCTGTATGTTCTGTTCTAAAGTTGATTTGTTGAGTTGTTTGTGATATCTGATTATTTTTTGCCTTTTGGAAATGTAAATTGCAGGCTACCTTCGAGTGTCTTCTGAAAACTTATGGTTTCTTGACTCCTGATTTCTGGAGAGAGACTCGTTTCACAAAGTCTCCGTTCCAGGAGTATACTGATCTGTTGGGAAAGCCAGTGAAGACTCTTGTACTTGAAGATGCAGAGAGGGTGGATGTGTGATGGTGATGAGTTATATTATTATTAAAGATGCGGCTTTAGTGCCTAGGGTAGTAATATGAAGTTCTTTTTGTCAGTTAAGACAATGCTAACGTTTACTTTTTGGCTTATTTGGTTTTGTCATCGGAAATTTAGCACTTGTTCGGTAAGTTTTGTTTGCTCAATCTGGATTTTATATAAGCTTATATGGATATATGTGATTTTTTTTTTTTTCTTAGTGCTGATCGTTGCCTTCGTGCATACTTGAAATTAATTTTTTATGAGGTCAATTATTCAACAAATGGTGAATAACATTGCTGATTTTAGTGACAGAAACAAAAATGACAAAAAAGAAGCAGGTTTGACTTTGGGTAAAATGTTTTTAGCTGCTCTATCACCATCAATTTTCTTTGGCACTATTAATCCAAGTTCTACAGTGTCATCATTTGAAATTTATAGCTTATGTCCTCCGGTACATCGATTTTTTTAAGTAGCTATTTAACATTCTTCTCAGAATTTGCTATGAAATATAACCTCTAGAGCACCAGGTGACAACTCCCTTTGATCGATCTGGCACATGCTACCAAACTCCTGAGATTCACAAATGCGGTGCTGAATGGAGGCTTTGACGTCCACAGGCAAAACTATGCGCAGAGTTTTCATGACAGCAACCTTAGGTCAAGATAAACCCACACGTGGCAGTGACCCATTTGTCCTAGCATTTCTTTGTATAAGAAAATGAATGATGGGTTAGTAACAGGCCCTTTCGTGCTATTTCCACGACTAACTAATAATAAATCTTTCATGCTATTTTCACGACTAATTAATAATAAATCATTTTGTGTCACGGATTGAAACTTAAACTTAAGCATCGAATTCACGCGGTTTCGAGATTCGAACATTTATTTATTCGATATTTTAGATCAATCTAATTATCACGATTTATATTTTTATGAGGTATTGTCTGCTCTAATCCCTTGACTTTACCGTTTTGTCTTACAAAAAGCATCTCATAAGGTAGAATTGGTGTAAACCCTTATATATCCCAATGACCCTCTTATTATGTTCGATGTGAGATTCAAGATTTTTCTTTAGGTCCGTGACATTTTTCTGCACCCAACCTTGTGACGCCCTCGTCACGGAGACTAATCATCCTGCTTACCTCCCTTGAGGTACTTGAGGCGGAGACTGATCACCCTGTCTACTTCCCTTGAGGTACTTAAGGTGGATCAAACGATTTACGATTGGCTTTGATATCACTTGTCACGGGTCGAGACTTAAGCTCCAAACCCGCGCGGCTCCGGGATCCGGACATCCACTCATCCAACGGCCTAGATCAGCCTAATCGTCACGGTTCACACCCTTGTGAAGTATTATCCACTCTAGTCCCTTGACCTCACGATTTTATCCTACAAAAGGTGCCTACAAAAGGTGCCTCACAAGACGGAGGTGATGTGAACCCTTATATACCTTAATGATCATCTTATTATGTGCGATGCAAGATTCAAGACTCTTCCTTAGAGCGTGATACCAACTTATGAATATCACCAAAGAAACAGAAATTGCGGATAATAGCAGCCCCCGAGACCCTGACTACACAGACTTGGCTTCTATGAGCATGACAGCCTCTCTGCTGCGGAGCTTAAGCTCAACTTTGACTAGACTTCCTTCCACAACAGCCCGCAGAGGGCTGATTGTGGCCAAGGCAGCAAGAGCTGATGAAGGACAGAAGGCCAGATGGGAACTGAAGCAAGAGAGCAGCAATAGGAGGAGGGAGCTGATTTTTGTTGCTACAGCAGCAGTTGCTTTCTCCGTTGCAAACATTGCCATGGGTGAAGAGCCAAAGACTGGGACCCCTGAAGCTAAGAAAAAGTATGCTCCTGTTTGTGTGACAATGCCTACAGCTAGCATCTGCCGCAAGTGAGAATCTGATGTTTCTCTAAATTTAATGTCGATTTTAATTTGAAATTCGTGTAAAAGTTGCGTGGAAACTTGTATCTTGTTATTGGAGAATCCATGTCATACTCTTCTTTCTTCTCCTTCTACTCTACATTCACCAAATAGTCGTATATCTCTAGACTGACTAAACTTCCAGTTCAACTATCTTTTGGGTTGAAATCAATTTGTGGGAATAATTAAAATGAACCAAATTCATCGGTAGAGTTGGTACCGAGTGCCGTTAAAAAAATTGTGAAGAAACTCTAGCTCAAAGGGTGGAGTAATAATAGCCAAAAACGAATGATACGGAACTTGGAAACGCGACAGTTTTGTGTCATATAGCTTGTTTTCTTTGATGTTGATCAATCACTGTCCAAGTCAATGGATGTTCTATCAAATTTCGCATTTGAATCAGCCATTCATATATGTGTTGTGGCATCTCTGTTAAACATAATTTGGATAACCTTCATAATTACAATTAATTTTTGTGGATCCTAATAAGATTTGACAAGCAGAAGTCAGCACCATTCTGTCAGAAACAGATAGAAGACACCAAAATCACCCCTCGGATATAAAAGAATGAAGTTCATGACTTCCATGTCAAGTCAAATTTATAGACGATAAATATCAATTTAACTTTCATTTTGTAATTAGAAATATCAAGATATTTCTGACACATGAGAAATTACTAGCCGATTTGCTCTCCACTCTTAAAGCTATAGTTCATTAAGTCTAACAAGAAATATCTAAAGTCACTGCAACACAGGGATTTATATTAATAAAACAAAATTTGTTCCTCCTCGTTCCCTAACTCATGGAAATAGGACAGAACAACTCACGGAGAATCCAGACCCTGTATTAAAACTTGAATAGAAAATGATTTCAAAAAACCCATAGTTCATCCATTCCGGATGTTTCCAAACGTGTTACCGAAAGAGATACCAGTAATTTGGTCGGTGGATAATGCAGCAGCAGCAGTATCTCAAAGGACTCATTCACTTCTACCGTTTTGCTGAGCAGCAACAAAATTGCGAATGACTTCTATTGCCAGCTGATGAGCACTCTTGTTTTCCAGCTTTGCAAGCTCATCCATGGCTTCATATGTCCCTTTATCCGCAAAAAACTTTAGGTTACACTTTGCTGATGTTTGCACTGGACCTTCCCACTTGTCCACCAACTCTTGAAGCTTTTCAAATCCCTGAGAGAAATCAACATCCTCGTCAGTTGCTGTACCATTAGTTCGATTGATCATAAAACATTTTTTCAAAGGAATGCAGATAAAAAAGTACTAGATTATTTTCCCACTAGTGCCCAAAGAGAATAATAATGGAAACATGCTAGTTGTTCAGTACTTACCATGCGGGTTGTGAAGTCGCCAAATGATTCTTTAGGTTGTCTTTTTCTTTTCCAGCAGTAGAACAAAGGTTCAAAAACTTTTTCAAGATCCTGAACTTTGACTTTATTCATAAAACTTCTTGCTAATCGGGTTTGATTGGGTGTTCCTCCAAGCCAAATCTAATTTTAACAAGAACAAATTGCCAAGTTATCCCTACTAATTGATCGCTATAGAAAGGCATCACATCAAATGATCGAACTACCTGATAGCTGTTGGGACCATCACCAACCAGTCCAAGCTCAGCCATGTATGGTCTAGCACAACCATTAGGGCAGCCAGTTATCCTTATCACTACAGACTCATTGTACTTGAGACCGACCTGAAATTAGGCAAGTGCATATCTATTTATTAGAGCTCCAAACCTGATTTCATGCGAATTCAAATAAAAGATAGGGAGGAGAATTTGACTAGACTATGGAAATTCACACACAGATTGTCCGTAGAAATTTGAAAATAAAATGAAAGCCATGCAAAGTACATCTTCAAAAGGGTCATGCAGCAGTTAAATTTCCCCTTGCTAAGAAGGTGATAATTTCAGCCAATTGTCATGCTAACTTCAGTGTTAGATCAGTCTTCTTGTAGGGACAAGGGGTCATTTAAATTTAACAAGAGTGTGTCTTAGGTAAATATACCTTCTCAAAGACAGCTCTGACTCGCTTGAGGATATTGGGTATGCCGCGTTCAGCTTCAGTTATTGCCAGTGGGCAAAGTGGGAAAGCTGGGCAAGCCATAGCAGTTAAGTTCAGGGAGTCCACATATCTAGGATGCTGTTCACAGCAAGAAGGTAAACAAATTCAAATTATAAATTTTAACGAATTCATACTGTTCACATGGGATCCATACATTTAATACAAAATATAAATTATAACGAAATAAAACAGAGTTACGTAAACAAATTCAGGAATGAATACTGAGAAGCCAAGGAAACACTTACAAACTAACCATGTAACATTATTGCAACCCAGGAAAATTTAAAAAGAAAAAAAGGAAAAGCAGTTAAAAGATTATGAACCAAGTGCAAACTACATGGATAGTAAATTCCAGAAAAAAGGTTATTTACAGACTACAAAGCCATCACTCCATGGATGAACTAGGTCAGCCACACGCTTCACAAAAATATAGGATTACTTGAGCAATTGACATCTGAATATACAATTCAAATATTAGGGTTTTGTGTGATAAACCTACTCTTGCATTGTGGTTTTGTAACGTAAGAGCAGGCCTGCAATAAATCCAAGGAGTTCAGTCCTTCAACAAATTTATGTTTCAGTATTTGGGAAGCAGAGGTAATAATGATTAATATCTCTTTACCCTTTACTTTGAAGGGTTAAAGTGATCTTCTCTTGCATGCACCTATTTGTCCTTCAGCTATGATTGAGCAATAATCCCTTGATCGTATAAGAAATTTTTTTTTTTTTTAGGTGGACACTTAACACATTATTGCTAGCTGATAGCAGGCATTGACAAAATGCTTGCATTACCATATTACTTAGAACTTTAAGCTGTCATTACGCTCTTAATGCTAATATGACTTCTACTCAGCCAGCACCCTACTTAACCCATCTTGATATTTCTTATTTGAAAATGAAGAAGGAACTGAAAAATATAATAAACTGTGGTTTCATATCTTCTGTCCAATCTTTTTGGTGGTATTCTACGCAATTGCATAACTGGTTCTCGTGATTCCACATTATCGGTCTTGTCTAGAAACTAACATGCCATAAATTTATGCAACTTTCAAGTGAACTATCATCAAATGCCGCCAGCTAATTATTCATTAACCTATTTTATTTTTTCTTTAAAATCTGGATTATAATGTCATATCATCTACCAACCCTAACACAATAGACAAGGCAAATATTCTTAACCATTAGATTAAGATGTTCAACTCTAAAACTTTTGCAGACATTGTAGAGTGCAGGTTCAGAAATCAGATAGGTAACTGTAGCAAGTAATAAACAACTTACCAGTAGACCAGCCTGAGCAAGAACTGTGGTAATGGGACGCCTCCATGCACTACGAATGTCACACAAAACAATGTTTTGGTTTGGGGTGATTCGCACATTTAAATTATACTTCTCTATTACTTCCCTTAGTGTCTTTTTCATTATTCCTCCAATGCGACCATTATCTACATGGAGCCCACAAAATAAAGCACCATCACCCTGTCAAAAGTTTCTAACCAGTCAGAAAAGTGACCAAGAAGGTCAAAAGTCACTGTATTATAATCCAAGAATCATGCTTGAGTTGAAAACAATCTGAACCAAGCATAAAATCAAAAGATTAAAACACAGTAAGTAATTAGGAAATGTGGAAGTTAAAAACCATAAGACAAATCAAAGACATCATGGATGATGTCCCCAAAAAAGAAACACCAACCTGCTCATGCCATCCCAAGTAACTCTTAAATTCCCACTCAGGCAAATCATAGAAAGGCTCAAATTTCTTTCCATAAAATTGCTCAACAACACTTCTAAACTTTTCAATCCCCCAAGAGCTGATCAAATATTTCATTCTACTATATTTACGGTCATCTCTTCTGCCATGATCTCGTTGTGTAGCAACAATGGCTTTAATAGCGTACAAGATGTCCTCTTTTGGCACATAGCCTAGTGGTTCTCCCAAGCGTGGGAAAGTGGTCTCCAGCCTATGGGTTCTTCCCATGCCGCCACCAACCTGAAATGACAATTACAAGAAATGGATGCTCTAAGGTATAAAAGTGTGTAAGAAAAAATGGAAAAAATAATGATTTCTTCTGTCATTAGTAGTCTTACATATATGTTAAATCCCTGAGGCTCCCCGTTTTCATCAGAAACTACCACAACACCGATATCATTTGTGAGAATATCCACCGAGTTATCAGTTGGCACAGTCACTGCAATTTTAAACTTCCTGGGCAAGAACTGAGTCCCATATATAGGCTCAGGCGAATCAGGGAAATTCGTGCCATAAGAATTATCATTCCTGGCTTTCACAACTTCTGGAGGTTCCGATGTCATGAATCTCTCCCCATCAACCCATACATCATAGTAAAAACCAGACCGAGGAGTTAACAGTGCAGCAATGTTATCAGCAGTTTCCTGTGCAAACAGGTTCTCTTTTGTCATGAGAGGAGCAGCAGGGGCAAGCACATTCCTATTGAGATCCCCACATGCACCAAGTGTCGAACCCATGTTTTTAATAATAGTGCTCATTACGGTCTTGAGGTTCTTCTTCAAAACACCGTGGAGCTGAAACGTTTGCCTTGTGGTCAAACGAAGCGTCCCAATACCAAATTGATCGGCAAGATCATCCATTGTCAAGTAGAGTTGGTTTGACACTTTGCCACCAGGGTTTTTAGTACGAAGCATGAAGGAATAAGACCTTGTACCTCGCTCATCTCTGTTATACTGTTGATAACTCCCATGGAACTTAATTAATTGTGTTGCAGCCTCGTTTATATTGGGTGTATCGGTCAGTATCTCCTCATTAAGAGGGTATCTAATGAAATGGCTTTGTTCTTTGAATATTTCAACTTTACTTCGCTTTGGCTCTGTCTTAGTAGTTTCAGGCTTCACGGGCTGAAATGGGATTCAACAAGTTATTCAAAACAAACAATTTAATCTAAAATTTTGCAACTTTAGATTTTTAAAAAAATGCTAAAATTGTTCCAAAATAAATATATACATTACAACGAATCTTATTTCACCGAGGAAAATATGAATATAAAAATAATTTAAAAGAATTTAAAAAAAGAGCAAAAGGCATATAAGTAGTAAAGGTTGCAAAATTTTCCCAGACTTTCTTAGCTTCCAAACAACAATTAACGTTCAAAATGAAATTAAAATTTTTTTTCTTTAAAAAAAAAGAAAAAATAAATAAAACTAACCGTTGAGACAGCTCTAATGAGAGAAGGACTGGAGAAGGTAACGGTAAACATGCGAAGATTCCTCTTCAAGGCTATAGAATGCGAAGATTTCAACCCCGTAAAGCTCTGAACTCCAATCTTTGGATCGTTTGGTATCACGGTACTCGTCGCAGTTCCGAATGACGTCGTCATGGCTTCAAAGAAGAGCCAAAGCCTAACCCTTCAATTGTATTTCTCTTCAAAAAAAATCAGCTAGCGTTTTTCAACCTTCTTGTCAAATGAAGAAGAAAAAAACGGAGGCTGATCGACAGCTGCGAAGAAAAAGCAGAGAGTTCGACGGAGAAAACGGATTTTATTGGTGTGACTGTGAAGTGTGATAAACATCAGAAAATAATATAAAATAAAAATCACAAGCCTGACACGGGACTTTCTTTTATCGATATTGGACTTTAAAAACAGGCCCACGCGCAACGTTCTAACTTCTACGTGACAACGTTGGGATGATCGGTTTGGCACTTTGTATTTTAAAAGGTTAAATGTAAGATCACAAACACTCACATACACACGTGTATATATATATATATATATATATATATCAAATGATTAAACGTGAATTAAATTTATTTTTTAAAATTTAAAATATAATATTTTAATTATTTGATAATTTATTTTATTATATTTTTACCTAAAATTATTTTTTTTGTGTTTTTTTTTCTTTCTTCATATTTTTTTTAAATCAAATGAATTCTTTCTCTATAAGTCATTTTCAATCAAAATTTTTTTCTTTGATTCTCCTCTCTCTAATGTTTCAAATTTTTTTTTTGCAATAGCTTTTTCTTTTCTAATAAAGTTTTATGCTACTTTTTAGAATTGAAGAAAATAAAATCTCAAATTCCATCAAAGCTTGTCATCACAGTCCACTGTATTATCATCATCCACTACCGTTGTCATCATTTGTCATTAGTGACTACCACCGTAAACCAGAAAAGAAAACCTCGACACCAAAGTCAGAGAACCTTCTATACTACCACAGTTTTTTTCTCAAACAATGTCTCTTTCTCCTTAGTCTGAAAGGAAACCCTAAGAAAACCAAACCTAAAATTACTCTTTTTCACAAACCTAAAAAAACAATCTCAAGCTATGATCTAAAATTTTGATTTTGCTTTTGAATGTTCCTACTAATGGTATTTTTTGCTTATATTGATTGTTTATGGTTGAAACTTTCAATTTTTTTGCATATTTGTTTGTATGCAAATTTTAGGTTTTGTATCTTTTTGGGAATAAAAATTTTACTGTTGAAAATTGTATCAAGTATCAAACAAACAATCAGTTTTCATTCAGCAACCACACCAATAGCCTAAAAGAGACCCAAAAATAAACCCAGCAACCACCAAAAAAACCAATAGAACTCGAATTCATTCTAAATTACCCATACCCAATAAACCCACAAAGCAACAACAAATTCACATTATAATTACAACAACCCATTAGTAAGGGTTTTTTTCTATAAGTTTCAATTTGAGTTTTTTGAAAATTTTTGAGTTTTTAAAATAGAGACGAAAAAAAAGAAAGGAGAAGATCGACCAGCAGCACAATGAATAACGAATAACATACAAGCTGTGAAATCAATGGCGATTGGTGGAGGTTACGGTGAGCTTTATCAAAAATTGGGTTTTATTTTTTATGTGAGCTGAGTTTTGGAGAGAAGATTAAAGAATGTTGGAGAGAGAAAAAAAAACTAAAAAAAGTTTTGAAGAAAAAATGAAAAATGTTATGATTTGCCCTGTTATAAATAGTGATAAATTTTCACAAGTGTGAGACTTGCTTAAGTGGGCGGCAATCAAGTTGCATTATATTAGTGCATTCGAGTTGAATATTCAATTCAAGTTTAGTCAGTTTTATTTTTCATATTTGAGTTTGATTTATAATTTAACTGAGTCATTTGTATTTAATTTGATTAAATTTGATAAAATTATAAATGTTAATGTTAAATATTATATTTTTATTATTTATTATATATTTTTTAGAATGACTTATATAAATATATTAAAAATAAAAAACTTGATAAAATTCAAATAAGCTTGTGAATCTCTTAAATCGAATATTAAATTACTTAAATTCGATTTAACTTGTTATTTGAACAATTCAAGTTTAACTCAACAACAAATTAGTTAAGTTTGAATTTTTTTGGATCAAACTTGAATAACTCAAAAGTAACTTAACTAATTGTAGATCTTGATAGTTAATTTTAAAGGACCAACCAATGTTATACTAAATCTTAAATTTTTGTTTTCATACAATGTTTTTTTTATTATATTATTAATATATATATATATATGCAAGTAATATCCTAACAAAATATATAAAATTTTAAAATTATAAATTTTGTCGATTAATAAACCAATATATAAAGACACATAATACATTGATTAAATAACTTAAAATTGTACATCTTATTTAAAGTTATAAGCAATTTTCTTTTACAAGAAATATAAGTAAATAAATTGTTAAATTATATATTTTTCATTAAAACAAGAAAAATAATTAATTTTGCAACTTTAAAATTAGAAGTTTGAGTTTTTTTTTTAAAAAACTTTTTATAAAATGGGTTCAATAGGACTTTTGTACTGAAAAAAATATTCATGGTAGAAAAAAAAAGTACAACTAAAAGTAAATAATTATAAGAAAAAGAGAAATTGTAAGAAATTAAATAAAAGACACATGTTTGATATTTGATTTTAAATCTTATCTAAGAAGGTAAAAAATTAATTTGATTTTTGTTAAATTACATGATTGTGATTTAATCTTTATGATAAATTTTTTATTTTTAAAATTTATAAATAATAATTGATTGATACAATAAATAAATAAATAAATAATAATATAATTTTAATACATCTTAAATTACAATAAATAAAACTAAATTACAATATCACATAAAAAATAAATAAAATTAATAATTTTAGTTTGAGGAATCATTTAATTTTATTATTTAAAAATTTGGGGGTCGGGCCTCGAAGCTGCCCTTACTTGACCCGATTATACCCACATACAGCGCGTTACGAACATGGCAAAAGAAAGAGCGTGAAGGGTTGTGGACAAAGATACGAAACAAGATTTAGATTTTAGTGGTACATTGAACTTGGTCGGAATTACGTTTAACCCACAGTGAAGTTTGTAACAGGGGCCGGCGCTGCGGAGGCTATGGCGTCTGGAATAAAAAAATAAAGGAGGACTGATTAAGTAGGTGGAGGCATACAGTAAGAAGGTAGAGTTCCCTACATGCAATTTTTTATTAGCGTGAAGAGCAGAAAGAAAGTCAAAATTGCTACTAACAGTAAAAGTAATTGACTGACCGCAGAAAATAGTCTACTTATGTCATATAACATGACAAATAAATAAATGCAAAAAAAAAAAGTTTGTCAAAGATTCCTTTGACCAATAATCAACGGCCCCCCTTTCATTTAAAAATATAAAAATAATCTGAAAATTTGGACATGATAAATATAAACTATTAAAACATTGGCAAAATTTTTTTTTTTTTAATTTTAATGGGACAGAACCTTACATAAAAAAAGAGGAAGGAAATTGAAATCGAACCTCTGAAGATTTACTTGATTATTAAATTAAATAGTTGAAAACAAACATTAACAAATATATAAATATATATAAACTAGAGCTATCGAAAGTGGGGTTATTCACCAAAATATGAAGGTGCGCTTGATATTTACAATGATTTAGACAAAAATATTATGTTTAGAAAATGATCTTAGAAAAAAAAAAGACATGTTAAAAAAATAGACAGAGCCTTCACTTTGGATGAATTCAATTCAATTTGTTTTTAATTATATTATTTTATATTTATATATAATATAATTTATATCATATAAAAAATATATATAATTTTGCAATAAAAATATCATAAATTATATTAATGTATCATATTTTAAAGTTTAATAAAAAAATAAAATTACTAAAGAATAAATAAATACCAACATTTTTATTTTTTGAACTAAAAATAATTTACACAGCTTTAGACAAAATTTAAGACAAACATATATAGAATTAATATTATACATAAACTTAGCCCCACCTTACTTAAATACATTTTTAATATAAATTTTTAAGAATAACATCAATTAAATCATCCTAATTTAAGGCTCGATTGGATTGATCTTTGACAAACATATATAATATTAATATCATGCATAGATTTAGCCCCACTTGCTTTACGTACACTTCTAATATAAATTTTTAAGAATAACATCAAATAAATCAATTTAATTTTACAGAAAATATAAATAAATAATTTTTTATTGTGAAAAGTGAGATTATAAGTTTCTATTTTATTATAATAAAAATATAAACGTTACGAAATTAGACTTGTCCATTAATAAGTTGAACCAACTTTAGTAGGCCTTGGGAAATCTTTGCCTAAGGGAAAGCACAGCCCAGTCCATCAAGCTGATGGACCTATTTTTTTAAAATATATTAAAGATTTATTATTTTAAAATTAATAAATAAAAATATTTTTATTAATTTTAAATACATCAGGTCAACCCTAAATCAAGCTTCTAGGTCTCTTATCTCGGCCGACCCTCGGATACTATATAAAATAGTTTATATTGCATTAATCTTTTTATTAACATATATAGTTTATAAAAAAAATATGTATTTAAATTTATTGGAATAAATTAAATATTAAGTAACAAATACTTGAATGAATGAAAATTCAATTATCTATATTTAGATATTATTCATATGAATTTCATACAATATTTCACTAGTGCGTGATCACTTTTAAAAACAATACATTATGTACAATTTTTTTAAAAAAATAATCTTCTAACTATTCATAGTTAGTGTTTATAGATACTAGTGTAATGCTCATGTTTTGTTATGGATTTGTTTATTTAACATAATTAAAATTTTTAAATATATAAAATTTTTATTTAATTAAAAAATAGTATACTAAAAAATAAATAATCTAAATAAAGTCAATTTAAGAATTTATATATATAAAAAAGTAAGATATAATACATAAAATTTATTGAATTGATCATAATTTGTAAATTATACATATTATATTTTTATAAGGACAACTTCGTGAATCATAATCAAATAAAAAAATTATTAAAGGAACATGTCTATGTATTATCAAGATAATAAAGTTGTGTCTTTTACAAAACAAAAAGTTGATTTATAATTTTTTATGTTACCAAACTTCTAATACATGAGAGATGTATGTTTAATTTTTTCCAAGACATTATAAGCTTACAATGATAAGACTCAGTCGTTAAAAGAAAAAAAATATTTTAATTCATTCTTTGAGAAATAATGAGATAATAGAGTATTAGTATGCATTTAAACTAACTATTGTTGAGTCATATACCAAATCTTTTTTACTATTCATATATATATATATAGAAATATAATATATATATATATATTTAGAAGTTCTTATTCTATCTCTAACCACACTTGACT